AGTCAGTAGGTTATGTAAAAAAAAAAAAGTTATGCAGTATATTGATAGAACTATCAGAAACATGTGACTAGACACGAGATGAATTGAAAATGTAAAGTTGTAGATCATAAAATTTTATAACACAAATATTGTTCTTAATTGACAATGTAAATTTTTCGTTTTTATCTCAATTTTCTATGATCAATTGAAGTCAAGAGGTAGTTAATTTAGTTCTGGATGCAAGTCTATTGATTGAGATCTCAATATAAAACAGTACTATTGACTTTGCCTATTGCTAGTCTTGATCTGTCAAATTCTGACGGATCTAATCACCAATCTTCTCTCTTTCTGAATAAGACTTTCTTTGTTTTTTCTTCCTATTTCGCGTGTCAATCTATTGCTATTTCTAGACTTGTCTATATATTATGTTAATGTTTATATACTCTTTTCTTGATAGATAACAATGGAACATTAGCGATTATTGCATGTCGTAGTCAATGAAAATTATTCCAGTTAAGATGCTTTAACCTATAGTCTAACTACTAAATCAATCAGTCATCTATTATTTGATATTAAGAGAAATAGAATATTTGTCTTTTTTGTATTGTTTAGTCTTTGAGTTATTTTTGGACTTATAACAATTTTTCGAATATATATATGTATATCCATTGTTTTATTTAATAAATGACATATGATAATAATTGCTCTAAGTTTAATTGAAAATGTCTTCATCATTCATCGTGTTATCTATTCAATTATCTATGTATCTTCTTTCAATGAAGAAGAACGTATCATTCTTTTTTTTCTTTTGTTTCATTTTTGTTATCTAATATATTTCATGATTGTTTTAAAAAGACTTTAAACATACAATATTTTACATATTTATTGCACAACTTACATTGATATGTACAACTATTAAAGACTAATACATCTGAAAATTTGACCTTTTTTAAAAATTTGAATTGATTGTTTTAGTAAAGTATATTCGATAAAATTTGTTTATCTTTCTAATGTATCATATAAAGAAAGATTCTTGTTAACTTGTTACAATGAATAAGATCATATCTTGTGAAAAAATGCCATTTTTTATTTGTCTATTTTGATAACTCGATTAACAAATTAACACATTATAGAATCGATTGAAACACTTGACACAAAGACAAAAAAAAAAAGGGAAGTCATAAATCAGTCAAATGCTTCTCAATAGACACGAAAGTAATGCTACGGTAATAACCAAATGTAATTTTATGATTTTACTTGCAACAAGATATTACAACCAAACAATGTTATTTGAGAGACTGAATATATATTGTATATCAATTATAGACTTTTAAATGTAGACTAGTATTTCGTGACTTTCTTTTTCCTACATCGAAAATGAAATTTAATCATAAATCTGTATTCACTAGGGAATACTCTATGTTTAAATATACACAAAGAAAAAAAAGAAATAATATCAATCTTTCAGTGGCATATAGGAGGACAATGATAGAAAAAAACAATCTTTCTTAGATTGAATATGAAAAAACTTACAACGAAAAAAATAATTTCATTCAGATGTAAAACAAGAAATAAATCGCTTACAAATATGACACATGCGGAATTCGTTTTCTTTTAACATATTCTTTGGTCGAAAAATAAAATTAGGTCTTAACAGTAGATACTTGTAATATGAGTCAACAAATCTGACACCTAGATAGATAAATTTTGCTATCAAAGTTTGACACAGATTTTAAATCATTTTGATTATAAGCAAATATATTTTATATTATTTATTTGTATTATTTAATAAAATATTAGTTGAATACTACTTTATTCAATTAGGATTTTATTTCTTCAATTAATAGGAGATTCAATTTTATAAGGAAGACAATATTCAAAAGATAATATTATTTAATTAAATTAATATTTTGTCAAAAACACATAGATCTTATAATGATGAAAAACTTCTTTTTTTTTCTTCATATTGAATTTTTGCAAAAATCTATCAAAAGATTTATATGTAGACAAAATATTAATTTAATTAATTAGTTCAAGACAAAAGAAAAAAAGTTAACATGAGTCTGGCTGTGAGGTTTTTTTTTTTTTATCTATCATTTATTTGATCTGTATTAGGAAAATCCATAGCTGTTGTTTGTGATAGAATGGTTCCTGGTTGACTACTCATAATACTTGCACGAAGAACACATTTTTTTAATTCATCAATAGCTTGTGCTTGTAGAAGAATAAAATTCTTAGCTAGAAGTAAATTATTTTGTTTTTTATTATTAATCTAAAATTATACTTACCTAAATATAATGTTGAAATTTTACTTAATTTACGTACTGATGGTGAATGTGCATATGGAATCTAGAAAAAAAAAAGTATTTAGAAAAAGAAAATTATTGATTAAAATTAAATAATACAAACCACAGAACGTAATTCATCAAGTGCATCATTTAAATCATGCATACGTCGACGTTCACGTGCATTAATTGATAAACGTAATGTTCGTTGTTTTCGTTCACCAACTCCACTAATAATAGATGATGATTGTTGTTCAATTGTATTTGAATTTGGAGTCACAATAAGTGGTAAAGGAAAATTCCAAAGAGGTGGAGGTATAGAATCGTTTGCCATAAAAAAAGAAAAAAGAAAAATATTCGATTTAACGCTCTAAGACACTTCTTTACTATGCTTATATGTAATGATGGATAAAATGAGTTGTCGATGTAATTTTCATGCAATTCTCTGTTGCTCTCTTTTTTTTTTTTTCTTCTTTCATAGTTATTTTGTCATCATATAAATGTATATTTATATATGTCTATATGTATGTATATGCGCATTGTTAATTCCCAAAACGATCTTCTTTCCATACATCCATTTCTGATTTTGCTCACACTATCATCAGAGACGCTAGCTTGTATTTAATCAATGAATAGTCATAATTGAATTTTGTCCTTACATATATCTAATAGAGAACGAAGCTCTTCAAATTGCAAATTGTTCCAATAATTGACAAGAAAAAAATGAGAGAAGCGAAATGCAATGAAAATGATGATGTGACCCTAAGTAAGAATGAATATAGATAAGAAGATGAAAACAAACATTGATATATACAGACAAACCAAAAAGGTGAATAGAGGTGCATACATAAAAGACAATAAGATCAGATAAGATAAAACAAGAATAAAGAAAAAGAAAAACACAAAAAACATTTATTGTTATTCATTTATTTAGATAGTTATTATAACGAATCAAAACAAATAAAATAAAATATGACTACTGCATTACCTCCTGGTATATATATTCCAATACCAACATTTTTTCATGATGAACCATCTGATGAACAACCACTTGATATTGATACATTAACTCGACATATTAAATATTTATGTTCAGCTGGTGTTCATGGTATTGTTTGTATGGGTTCAACAGGTGAAGCTGTTCATTTAAATGAAGATGAACGACAACTTGTTGTACGTACTGCACGTAAAGCTATTGATGATACATCATCAAATGTTAAATTAATTGCTGGATGTTCACAAGAATCTGTTCGTGGAACATTACATTTAATTGAACAAGCAGCAAAATCTGGTGCTGAATATGCTATGGTTTTACCACCATCATATTATCTTACATGGACAACAAATCGATCCGATGTTATTTATTCATTTTATACTAAAGTAGCTGATAAATCACCAATACCAATAATTATCTATAATTTTCCTGGTGTTACACAACAAATGGATACAACACAAGAAACAATTGTTAAATTAGCTGCACATCCAAATATTGTTGGTATTAAATGTACAGATGGTAATGTTGGTAAAGCTGCTTATGTTTGTGAACAAATTGACTCAAAAAAATTTACTGTAATGAGTGGTTCAGCTGATAATTTTATTCCATTTTTAAGTGTTGGTGCTCAAGGATGTGTACCAGGTTTTGGTAATATTGCACCACATATAGTTTGTCATTTGTTTAATTTATATACAAAACATTCTACTGATCAATGGAAAGAAATTCAACGTCTTCAAGGTAGAATTGTTGCATGTGATCATGCATTTTTTCGTTGGAATGGAATATCTGGTCTTAAATCAGCTATGCAACATATATTAGGTTATGGTGGTCTTGCACGAACACCATTATTACCAACAACACCAGAAATACAAGAAAAAATAGTTAAAGCTTTAGAACCTGCACTTGAAATCGAACGTCAATTAAGTTCGAACAAATAATTAATATAATCTTATTATGAAAAAAGAATACAAAAAAAAAAACTATTTTAATTGTTTTTCTTGTTTTTTTTTTATAGAAGATTTTTTTTTAAATTGATTTTGTGCATTTGATATACAAACAAATAAATGAGCATATATACGCCTCCTTACGTTCATAATTTTATTGGCACATAACTGTCCGTCGTTCTCATCCATCTGCTTTTTCATGTCGCCTATAACATGTTTTATGTTTGATGTGTACAAAAAAAAAAAAAAAAAAAAAAAAAAAAAAAACCGAGAAAAAAAAAAAAAAGGCAAACACCAAAAAAAAATTTTTTTTTTTAAAAAAAAAAAAAAAAAAAAAAAAAAAACGAAAAAAAAATACCCGAGAAAAAAAAAATGACGGCAATCACGAGAAAAAGGCAGCATTTTTAACAAAGAACAAACAGACAAATAAGCAGGCAGAAAAGAAAGGAGTAGTTACGATTAATCAAAAAGCAGTTAATGATGTTGAAAGACAGTCATTGTGTTTTTTTGTAAATAAACGATGTTCTCACGTCCATTTCATCGAATCAATGTCGGATAACCAACAAAATATGAAATTCGTATAAAACAAGAGAACGGTAACAATAAGGAAAAGAAAAACGAGATAAAGAAAAAAAAAAAAAGAGGATCGTCCGTCATCGCAACTGTTCATACCATGGTATATAGGAAAAGTTTGAGTATAAGTAAATTGCGTGCGAGAGACAGAAGAAGAAAAAAAAAATGAAAGGAACCAAAGACAAAAAAAAAACGAAAGATCATCCATCGGTCTTCATCAGTGAATTACTGTTGTACTGATTGTTGAGGTTTGCTAGATCGATATTCGTTGTTATTTTCATCCGCTCCACTGAATGATGGTGAATTATTATTAAATTGACCACCACGTCTTTGATTATTACCACCACCACGATATGGTGCTCGATTTCCACCACGACCACTACCTCTTCCTTGATAATTACTATTACGACCGCCACCACCACCACCTTGTGGTCCATTATTAAAATTACCACCAATATTATTATTCAATGGATAATTTCGTTGAGTTTTTGGTTCAACATTTAAACGTGTTGTTTCATCATACATAACATGTTCTCTTTTGACAACAGATATTGCAACTTCTGGATCGTCAAAAACAACAAAACCAAAATTCTATTTCAAATAAATAGATAAGAAGAAGAAAAGAAAAAAAAAACGTTTTTTTTTTTTTTTGCTTTTTTCAATTAATTCCATTTTAAAAACAAACCTTTTTATTGTCATGAGCAGGTGTATGAATTTTAGCATCGAGAACTTTACCAAATTTTGAAAAACATTCAATTAATGTTTCTTTGGTAATATTCAATGGTAATGAACCAACAAAAACTTGTTGTTCATTTGGTGCTGTTGCAACATTTATACCTGGAATAATGAGCAAAATTATGATCTTTTTTGAATATTATCATTATAATAATTACCACGATTAGTTTGTGAATGATAATTACCACTACCACGTTGTGGTTGTTGTTGTTGTTGTTGTTGACCCAATTGAGGATTACTACTTGGTCGATTTGTTGTTGTCAATGGTGGTTTTACTGATGATCGAATAGTATTTGATTGTTGAGAAATTGATGTTGGTATTGTATTTGAAATTGAACCATTACGTGAAGTAGTTGTTGAAGTTGAAGTAACATTTGATGTTGAACCCGTTGATGAATGTAATTTAGCAATACCAGCATAGGATGCTAATTAAAAATAAGTGACAAAAAAAAAATAATATTTTCTTAAAATAATTGTTTTTCTTTTCTATATTCCACTTACTTCCTTCTGGTCTTTGTCCTTCTGTTAATGTTGGTTGTTGTATTGTTGTAGTTTGTTTAACCGGTTGTTGATTTGGCACATTACCACCATTTATTTGTTGTTGATTTTCTTGATGATTTAATGGCCTTGGACTAGATTGTGAATGTGATTGAACTATTTCTTGTTGTTGAAGATGTGTATGATTGAGTCCACTATAATTAGTAGATTCATTAACATTAGCATTTGCAAAACCATTCCTAAAAATTGAAAGTGTTTATTTTTGTCTTGTATTTAATTCAATATTCTAACTTACAAATTAGTTGAACCTGTATGTTGATGTTCTTGTTGACGAACAGTTTGAATAGGAATAATTTGTGGTTGATTATTTGGAAGTGTTGATACATTACTACGAGGTGGTAATGGTTGTTGTTCTTCCATTGATGATCGTACAGTAGCTGTCACAAGTAATGGTTGTTGTGAAGTTGCTGCCATGGCTGCTGATGAATCAGCATTTGAAACCTTGTCCTAGGAAAAATTTATATATTTAATTTGCAAATGAAAAACAAAAAATATATTTTCGCTTTTTTTTTTTTTAGTATGTTACTTACTGCATTTGAAATTGTATCACCGTAAATATGTGAACTTGATCGATCATCCTCATCTACTTCATCAGATCCATCATCAAAAACTTCATCTTGATAACGGAAAATATCATTTTGTACGTAGTATTTTTTTGGTTGTCGTGGTGCCAATACAAATGTTTGCATAAAACGACGCATTGGATCACCATTATTTGATAATTCACCGGTAACCTGAACAACAACTCCATCACCAATAGTTGGATGTGAATCGACCTGACGAATTTTTGCATGACAATCACGTAGATTAAGGTCATTAATTCGTTGAGAAATACTTTCCGGTCCAACAGCTGGCTGTTCAACACAACCTGGTCGATCAACACCACCATGAATGAATGTACTATCCGTAGAATAAAATCTATATATAAATAGATAAAATTAATATGAGAAAAAAAAGAATATTAAAAAAAAATTACCGATGAAGCATATGAGGTGCTTGATGTAATAATGTATAATACTGATGGACGAATGCACGGCCCACCTAATTAATTAATCATATAAACAATATATATATATATTTAACATAAAGAGAAAAAAAAAGTTTTACATCAAACGGGGTGGGACTTGTTTGCACCATTATTTTAGTTAATTTAAGAGACAGTGATGGGATGAGATCTGAAAATCAAAGTAAAATCATTAAAATAGTTCATTTATATACAATAGTAAGATCATATATGAGTGAGAGAAACAGTAAAGACGGACGGACGAGTCAGTATATAGGTGTAGCTGCTAACAAAATAGACAAAAGTTAGCAGTAAAATGAGAGGTTCAAGAAACAGAGGTCATGGTAGTTCTTACAAGATACTTGTGCAGTATAATTTATATTAGATGTCACTAATTGCTGATATTGAATTTGTTTTGTTTTAAACAAAACTTCTGTTATATATGATTAAATTAAAGTCAGAAATTTGCTTTTTGTTATTTTCATATTCTGATTGAATACCATTGATCAAATAATAATATATAGTATTATAGAACTTTCCACAAGTCAAATTTTTGATGACTATTTTTTTAATAATCTCAATCATATGATAACTAGTTAAACATAATGCATATGTTAATTTATTATTATAGAATATTTAGATTAATTATAAAGTAAATTTCTACTAAACTTAAATGAAATATTAATGTCCTTTGAAAAGAATATCAATCGATGAATTTTAAAAGATTTATTAATGATACATTAAAGTTTAGTCATATTTTTGTGATTTGTATTTTTCTTTATGACGGGAAAAAAAAAAAATTATACAGATGTGACAACCCAGGTGATTCTCGCTCGGTCGGATCCCGTCGGATTCAAATAATTGCGTCTGTATCCTGTCGGATTTTTGTCGGAATCCCATGAGCCGGATTCCGTCTGTCGGATCTGATCGGACATGTGCAAAACCCGATAGGATTCTGTCGGATTTCGTCAGTTTTTATCGGATTCCGACGAAATCCTGACCGGAATCCTGCGCAAGGATTGCTTGTCTTGGGAAATACAATGTAATAGCGATATAAACAATTGAAGCAAACAACACGAAAAACAAAGATATGCATTTACAATGAATCAATACACATCTAATAATGCAATGATTGATATATACCATTGTCTGAATGTGTATAATATGTTGAGAATATCAAAATTTATATGATTACAATAGGTTTTGTATACATGATTTGAGTAATTCTTTTCGTTCGAAAACTCTAGATGCATTCAATTCTCTACATAACATTCCCCAAGTTATTTTTTTTTGCCATTGGCTGATAACACAACATAGCCACATTTATCTTGTCTGCGACCACTTCATCTCTCTGACACATTTTTTGTACTATGTCGTATGATTTATCAACAATCATTAGCTATCGTTCTTGCATATGTTTCCAGGACTCTAACACAATCTGACAATTCAACAAACTATCATTATTTTTCTGTAATGTCTAATATTGAATATGTATATTCTTGTATTATATGAACTTCTCTTTTTAATAGCTTTATATCACATTATAATTTGGCATGTACTTAGTGATGTCAATAAATAATAGTAATATAACATGTTGGAACTTTTCTTTAAATTTAGGGTTAGGTTATCGAAAACAACGAATCTTTCAATTTAGTTTTCTAGTTTCAACTTAGCAACATCAATATGACTTAGAATTCAAAATACTTTTATTATAAAGTATTCTCAGAAAATTTTCAGAATTTGTTTTTATAAGAGTTATTAAATCTCAAAATTTAAGTCAAGAATTATTGTACGCTTTAATCTATGTCATTGATCACAACTATGGTTTCTATATATTGTTTGTTTAATGTTGTCTCTCAACTACTTGATAAAATTGTTACATCTACTACGAAGAAATACGACGCCTCACATGTTTACTTAGCTTAAAATCTATTGAACTAGTCCTATTTACATAAGCATACCTTGTGTGAAAATGATGATAATAGTCTTTCAATGAAGAATATATATTTTATGTGTTTTTTTTGGCTATTTAAAAGCGTCCAAACTTGAATCCTTTACGTCAATTTCCATCGAGACATTGTATAAATATACTACTAATGTTTGTATGTTATTCTTCAATAATATTTATATAATCTGTTACTTGATATTTTTCTAACATTCGAGCAGTTAATTGAATTTTACCAAAGTCTATATTGAATAGTCTTTCTAGCTTTCACTTCATTATCTTAATGTCTTTTCATTTTTGTCCATTAAAAAAAATTCTTCATGAATATGAAACAGCTTTTCTTAATGCATATGTCATATCATTGAAGAACATGTGACCTGGAAACTACTTACGATCTATATGTATCCAATTGACTAAGAAGATCATGACATATTGATAAATGATCGATATATTGCACGTACAAAGCATTACAAAAAAGAGGCAAATATTCATTGTATAACTAGGCTATGCACTAATGGTTATGTTAAGGACATCGATATTCAATCAATGAATACAATTTACGAAAGCCTTCGAGTATTGTCTCACTCATATCATCTAATCTGAAAATAAGATTTTCAACATCGGTTAAGATAATAATATTTTTTATTTGTCAGAAATAAAAGTTTCTTTTTTTTTATAGTCAGTCAATGATACATTATCAAAAAAATCATTTTTGCAATATGTTAGATTTATTATTTACTTATAGGAATTTCTATGTTGCAGCTTCTTTTTATATCTTCTGCTACGCTCTTTAACATTGAAGGTAATTACAACTGATAACACACAAGTCGTCATGTATATAATTCGATCAAGAAATACATTGACAGACGCTTTTTTTTTTCAATGTCTCAGTCTACGCTAAAATGCAATGGGCGAACTTGACAGTTATCCTACTTCAGTAATAACAAATGACTGTGAAAGTTTTATTTTGAAAATGAAAGAGACAACATGTTGATAGGTCAATGCTTGCACTAATTTGCCTCTGTTTGCATAATTTATCATCGATTTACAGCTTTTATTCAGTTGACAAATAGTCTTGTGTATAGTTTACTGCATGTGTTCTTTTCAACCAACTGTTGTTTTTAAAATTTTTATCTCTTGCTGATACAGCCTTTTCCTTTAATTTTTGGATACTTTGACTTCATTATTTCTATATCAATACAAATAATAATGTTCGACAACTGTTGATTAACCAAAAGCTATCTTTATGATTAAAGCACGCTAAATAAACAAAAAAGAGCTTTCTGTTATCTGTCATGTTTCCATTGATATAAACAAGAAAATTGAGAGGAATATCAAACTTCAACTTAATTAATAGTTGATATGCAATCGAGTAAACTATTAAAAATAAACAAATAAATGATGAACAACAGTTATCTCGTATTAAACGAAAATAAGCATACGCTATGTCAAGTAAAAAAAATAACAGAAGTCATTTTATTGCATAATAATTGTCTATATAGAAAATTGCCTGCTATATAGAAGTTCATGCATACTATTTCGTCATCTTATGAGACTCTAAAATGTTCTCATACCCTTTTACACTTAATTTTTTTTTCTTAACTGAATTAGCATTAACCATTATTAAATAATTCATGTTTTTCTTTTCTATGCTGACAAAATATGAGTTTTGAATTAAACTTTTGTTTTATTGTTGATGTACAACAGCATAATTAACTTGCTAAAGATAATTTGAATATTAATACGATGTTTTATTATTAGTGACTGAATTTTCATTCATTTATACCATGCATTTAGTAATCAAACGAACTCTCTAATAGTCAATGTTAGTATTATCAATCAGATAGCTATTGTTTGTCTTTATTTATCATCTAGAATTGTTCATCAACGTCGAGAGTAAGCAAAAAAAAAATATATTACAAAATTGAAACAACAACAAAATAGATAATAAAACTTTGAAAAGAAAAACTGTATCACACATGATAATTTATTGGTTTCTGTTTACATGCTCGTTGTGGTCGATTTGATATGACAGTTGGAGCTAATAGTAATTTTTTCTTGGATGGTAATTCATTTGTTTCCGTGTCTATATAATTGAAAAAAATTAATTTAAATGACAAAGGTTTAAAAAATAAAATTACCAATTTTAATCATTTTTCGTTTACTTCGTTTCTTCGTCGGTACCTTTGCATCAGCTACAATAATCGATGTTTCTAAAAACAATTCAAAAAATATTCGAAATAAATCAATGACATAAAAGAGAAAGTTAAAAATAAATTTAAAATTTCATTTTACCATTATTTTCATCATCATTTGATTCATTATCATTTTCATCATTTATTTTCATTTTCTTTTTGCTGTTTCGTTTAACTTCTCTTGCAGCCAGTCGTACATCAACTTGTTGTTGTTCATCATTCGATAATATTTGTCGTTGTGGTACATAAGCTGATGTTCGTCCACCGACAGTATCAAATTTTATTGTTAATTTATAATAATCTTCTGTTGTTCGTTTATTTGTCCATCGATAATGAAAAAGCCATTCAGGTGGAAATTTATGACTACCACCAGCATCAACAGCTGTTCTTATCACATAATCAATATTTTTATGTAAAATTTTTAATTGTTCATCATTTAATGTATTTAAACGTTTTCGTGGATGAAATTGTGATTGATAAAGTATTTCATCAGCTATCCAATTACCAATTCCAGCACAAAAAGTTTGATCAAGTAAAAGTCCTTTAAGTTCAATAGATGCTGATCGATATGAATGAATTAAATTGATAAAATCTTCATAGGTTGGCATTTCAAGATAAGGATCAAATCCAAGTTTCGATAATGGTAAACATGAACGTGGTGATTTTGATTCAACAAGATGAAAACGTCCAAATTTACGAAGATCTGTATAACATATATCATGACCTTTTGATGTTAAAAATCTCATACGTGTAAAACGAGGTGGCCATGTTAAATCAGCATCAAGTTCATCATCTAAATGAAATCATTTAAGAAACAAATTTGTCATCCAAGCCTCTTTAGAGCTAACATATGAAATTTTCATGTGTTCTTTATCTGCACTAAATTAAGATACTATACTATTTAGAGCGTTCACAAACATATTCCAACCATTGAAATTTCGAGAAAAGCTTCGGAATGCTCTAGAATAATCTAAGTCTTATGATTACTATCGTACAAAAAGAGACTATTGCCCTCTTTTTTGCTGCAAGGATCTAGAACGCAGGAACCGTAGAGATCTTGATTTAAACTTTCACTCACTATTTTCTTCAAAAATATGTGTGATTTTCATATTTTAAAAACTTATGAATTTAAAGATTTTTCTTTTCTTATTCTATGCAAAGATTTCATTAAAATTACCATAAACAAACGATTCACATTGTCCATCAATTTCATTTTTTGCTTTCATTTTAACAAGTTTAATTTCTTTTGAATAAGTAACATCAGGTGCAGATTTTATACGAAAACCTCCTGACATTCCAAAATGAAATATTGGTGTTAAAGGTTGTTGATCCATCATTTCAAACCATAAATATTTTCCATGTCGTTTAATATCAAGTATTTTTCGATTAACTAAACTATTAGCAAATGTTGTCGGTGTACAATTCATAAAACGTCTTGATAAACCATCTGCATCTGGATACGTAACTTTAGTTATATGTGTATGATTTAAAAAACGAGCTAATAATCTTCGAGCATATTCTACTTCTTCAAAAAAAGAATAAAGATGAAATAAAAGTTTCAAAATTTATTATTATTAGTTCTCACCAGGAAGTTCTGGCATTTTATCTATAAAACGTAAAAAAGAAAAAAAAAAGCATACTTAGAAATCTTTGTTCAAGTGTAAAAATAAGAAAAAAACATAATTGTGCAGGTATGTCACAAATAGCATTATAAAAAAAAAAAAAAGTAGAAAATAAAAACAATATCATAATTAAAATGAATCATTATTAGATGATTTCATGAATTCTTTTGCTTTATCACTGAGTTTTCTTGAAAATGTTCGAGTATCTAACGTTTTTATACCAATAATACATGGTAGTGGTAAATGTGGAAGAAATAAATTATGAAGTATAAATTCTAAACCAAGACTTGCTAATTCTTGATTTTTTTTATAACGTTGTATTGCAAATGTTTCTAATGTTGTTTTAAAACCAAATAGATCTGATGTTGCAATTACTTTTTTTTCACAAATTGTACTTGATTCATTATTTTTATCAGGACGATAAATACAAGTTTCTTCAATAGTCTATAAAATCATAAAAACAACTTTTTTTTGTGAAAAATTTATATTAAATTATTTTTTACCATTAAAGATTTTAGATTAATATTTTTTGTTACAGTTGTAAATGTTTTTTGTTTTAAATCACATATAGATTCTTCAATAATAAATGCAATTGTTGATGCTGAACCACGAGAAAATAAAAATTCACCCCAACGTGGAATTTTATTTGTTTTAGTTAATAAACGTTTTGTTATAAGAATATGATCATTAGTGATTATTCGATCATATACATCTTCAGATAAAATATGGCCTCTTTAGATACAAAAACATACATTTTGAATATCAAAAACGAAAAGAAAAATCCTACGTATATGGATTAGGAAATTTTTGCCAAAAACCACTAATAACTTGAGACCAAGGAAATGTATATAACCATTGATCAATATGTGTTTTAACCATTCTGATTATTTTGAACAAAATAATATATAATTGAACGAACTCGACTGATGATGATTATATGAGAAAACCGATAGTGGCTATTTACTAACGAATAGTAATCAATTGACGACAGATGGTGATGATAACAAAGAAGAATGGATAGTTTAGTTATACATACTAACAATGTCAATGTATATGAAAAGAAGAGAATTTATATATCAGCATAGTCAATAATTACGAAATTTCATATTTTTTATATTAGAATATCTCTCCTTAATGATAAAATCTAATTTTTTGAAACTTTTATTATAAATAGAGATCATTTAAAACTACTATCAGTAAAAAATAAATTGATTTTTAATTTAATACGAGTCGACGACATGCAAATAAACTTTTTATATAAAAGTTGTTCAGTTTTTAAAAATCTTTCAAAATATCAGATCATTTGTTAAGTATAACTTTATTAAATAACAAAATAAAAATAGTTTATCTTGATTTTTGATTTCTGTATCATGTTTATTTTGTGCAAGTTTATATAAGAAATTCTCCCTTAATAATATTATATACAAAATATGAATAAATGTCAAAATAAACACTTTTAATAGTAGTATACAAAAAAAGGTTTTTTAAAAGTATTCTTATCGAAACAAATAAACCATTGAGTGATAGATTCCAAAATGATTGTCAGTCTATAGAAATATTCATAGACTAATCACATATAGTTATGTATAAAAAAGAAAACAAAAAAATAAAATGATCTATCATGAACACTTAATCGTCATTGTATGATGAGTATGTTTGTACAAGATTTTTATGACGTTTAACATAGTTGTTTCCATTTTTATATTCAGCTCGTGATATTCCTATTTCATAGTATCTTGGTGATGGATAGGCCCATCTAGAATTATTTGCTTTTTTATTCATACTATCACGAGATGTTGCTGAAAATAAATCCAAATGTATATCAGATTCAGTTGTACTTCTTGGGCTTTCTAAACTACTAGTAAATCGATTGATACTATTGGAATTATTTATATATCGTCTGTAAATCGTGTAAATTCTTGATGATCGATGCATTCGATCAGTGTTATCTAACGGTTCTGATGACACATCACGACGATGTTTTCTATATAACAATCCTAAACCACTATTAAACATAAAAGAACATTTTATATAGTTATTTTTGTTTTTGTCTTTTAGCTTACTAAGGTGATGGACAACATAAACATAAGCAACATAAAAGTGATAATATCGTAGCCAAAGCAATAATTACAGGTAATAGCCATGATAGTTCATTCGATGATGAAACTTTAACGAGATACAAAATAATAGTTAAATATTTTTTTATTTTTATTGAATTTACCAGTAGTTGTATTGATAGTCGTAGTACTAGTTATTGATGACGTATCATCTGCAGAACTTTGTTCATCATTAATATATGTTGTAAGATCATCAATAAATGATAAAGAATCATTAAATATTTCCTGAGTTATGGTTGATGATAATAATGATGTTCTATAAAAACATGATCATGAGAAGAAGTTTTTTTGTCTGTAGAAATACTATCCTTATGAAATAAATTCTCTTGAAAAAAAAATTTCAAATAAAAATACTTATCATTCAAAAATAAATAATTTCAAATTTTTGTTTTTAAAGAGTGTTGATTAAATAAACAAAGGACCTACAATCTCACGAAGCTTTAAAAAGAAAATTAATATCATCTGTTTAGATGAATAGTTCATTGATTAGAATGATATTATGATTGACTCAAGTAATATTTATACTTTCGACATAAACTTTTATCGTTGAAATGTACTCATTTGAACTGTAAATATAACATAATTAATCATATAGATGCAAAAAAGAGTATAAATTGTCCGATTAGAGATATAAAATATTCTAGCATATATAGAAACGGTCAATATTAAATATGAAAATTGATAGTTTCTTAACTTAAAAACAGCAACGATAAAGTTGAATATTATTTAGTTCATATTAATAAAATATTCATCTGTACACTACGACAATATGAACAAAATTTTGGTAATAATACTTACGAAGTTTCTAATACTTCTCCAGGACATGTTTGAGTGCCACTTATGCTAACAACGAATGCCATACAATATTGATTTGATTGAACATTTTGACTATATTGAAGAAAAAAAACAAATTAATAACTAATTTATTACTAGTTACCTATCAATTGCAATAGTACAAAGTATTTGTGAACCGATTTGATTTGTAGTTGGTGTCCACGTTAAAGAAACAGAATATAATGTACTTGTATTTTGAATAATATTACTTTTAATTACAATAGGAAATGATAAAGTAGCAATATCTTCGATTATCACACTGTAATTCGAGCAATAGTTTTCAGCATAAAGTATTATTGAATGTGATTGACCAACTTGTATACTTTCACATGTACCTGTTTGATTATTCGAGCCATAAAGACGGGGAACTATAGTGCAATTCGGTGAAGCATATACATTTATAAGAAGTTGAACTGGTACAGAACTTAATGGAGTAGTTGAATTTGAAGAAGTAAAATCTTCAATCTAAATTTTAGAGAAAAAATAAATTCTCAATCAATTACTCTATTTCGCTTTCTTATAGAGATGATGTACATTGTTTATTATTTCTTACAATAATTTACTATGTACCTGAATAGCTACAGCATACCAATCGTTAACTTTGGCACCAGTGATTAACAATGTACAATTTGAAGATATGAGTATTGTATTATTAGGTAGAGAGCTTGGTGGACATACATCTGAACATTCATCTGTCGTATTAGCAAAACGGCATCGTACTACATCATTATCACTATCAATTGTTGGTATAAACAATGATTGTTGAATTCCGACAGGTATTGCGATAGGTGATATCATATTTGCAACAGGAGGCGTATTTAGCTTTCCTGTATCTGATCGTGTACGTAAATCAATAGTACATAAGATACTCCAACCTTTGGTAGGTGGATTTCCGTTTGGTAAACTTAATGTTCGCCAAGCCGATCTGTAGAAAAACAAGATATTTTATTAAATTGAAAAGAATTGTATAACATACGATACAAAAGCGACTTTAAAATAAGCTCCACTTGTAAGATTAACTATATCAGTTCGTTGTGTGACACTAATAGACATTACTGCTGAATAATCTATGCAATAGGGTCTAACTGGTACTGGTATGTAGCCACCTTTTGTTGTACAATTTGCCACACAATTGAGTTTATAATTATATTCACTAAAAGAACTTATATTGGGTGATGTTTGTGATAATATATAAGAATTATCACAATAAACTAATGGCCATCTATATAAATATGTTTGTGTTATCATGATAGATACTGTTGATCCATAAGTATTTATAATTTTATATGTAATTGTTCCACCTTGAAAATGACTTGTATTAAACATATTTATACATATAAGAAAAATAATAATTTTGAATATTACTAATATAAACATTATTTTTCTATTTTGACTAGCTCGTTCAATAGAAATAAATCAAATGATTGAATGACGTCAATTAATTTCTTCTTTCTAGTCCTCGATTTTTACGATAAATATTTATCGACTTTATTTTTCTTTAAGAGTACTTCAATTTTATAAGTATTTTCTTGTTCATTGATTTATTATCATTTATTTTAGTGCAATGCAATATTCGGATATATTACTAATTTGTCCTTAAATGAAATTTATTTAATAGTACGAAGGCAAACAAGAAATCATATCTACTCACTAGGCTCCTTTGTTGTCAATAAAGTTAAATTTATATATATAGTGAAAGTACATACTTATGTCAAAGCTTTGATGGCAAATTCATTGAGTTACTGACGAAATAGCAATTGTAAAACAAATTATCTTGATTATTCTATTTCATGTATAATTCATTACTCCTTTTGAAAAGCGAAAAATTGTCTTATTTGAAAGTGTAATTTTGAGTCTTCGTGTTTAATATCTAGCATACTTCGAACCTGTGCTTATTTTAAATATTTTCGTCAAGTTTTTCATTCGTTGAGAAATTTACTTGAGATGTTCGTAAGATTAGATCAATCAATGAGTTGCATTAAAATGATGTCTTTATCATTTTGCCATCTGTCAATTTTGAGTTGGCAAATATATTTGAAAGAAGCAGAAATTATTTTATTATATTTTGTGTTTCGTACAGTAGATTTTTTTTTGTAATGAATAAAACTGACATTTCAAACAACGTTCGTATAATAAGAAATAATATGAAAAATGAAAGAGAATAGTTTCAATACGATATTAAGGAAGATTGTTCATTTATTTGTTATTTTTTAATTTGAATCTACTTTCGTTAAAGTACATTATTATATGAATCAGAGACATGATATTTTTCATTGATCATTTTATCATTAATCGTATAACTTCCTATTGGTTCTCTCTGTCGTTTTGTATTATGCCAAGGTTCAAGCAATTGACGACATGAAAATGATCGAAAGAGTGCTGTGTGATTATATAAACGTGGTTTCAACCATTGACTATCTGCAGAATATGATGATTTAATACGATTGAATGCAGATGAAAGAGGTTGATTATCTAAAAATATATAAAGATAGGAAAATCATTCTTAAAAAATAATTGTTTTTATTTTACAAATATAAATTGCATTATTCATTGTTTGTTGTAAAATATTTTCTATATATTTATTTGTTCTTATTTCTTTATTTTTAATTGATTTATTAAATTTTGTTTTGTTTATTTTCGATTTTTGTTTATGAAATTTATATGAGAATGGTAAAGTTTGACATTGAGTTCGTAAAGAAATATTCGAATCTAAAATTATAAAACTAACTGTAATTATAATACATATATTTCAGCAAATAATCATGATCAAGCAGAATTTTATAGATAGAATTACTTGTATTATATTTCGGATATTGACACATAGATTTTAATAATTTTAAATGATACTGATAAGCTTCATAGGTTGTATATCGATCATATACTGATTGATATTTCTTTCGATGATATCTTTAAAAACAAACTAAGTGAATTATTGAAATATAAATTGAATAGATCTTTGTTACATCAATGAATGAATTAATCGTTGATTTTCATTTTCAATATTATCTTTCCAATGTTTCTGTTGTAAACGAAAATGAGAAATATTTGTTTGTTTTCTATAATTTTCATTATGACAATCAATACCACCTTTTTGTTTACCATTATTTGACCAAATTTGAAGAATTTTTTGACATAATTGTAAATTACGTTTATATATATGAAATAAACGTTGATTATGATCAAAAAATTTACGATGTCGTTGAATATTTTTTGTTTTCGTTAAATGTTTCTTATTTGTAAAAGATAATGATGATTGAATATTTGTAATACGTGTACGAAGAAAATGATTATAATCAATTTCATGTCGAATTAAATCACAATAAGTTTTTGGAAGTTCTCGATTTAAATGAATAGGAGGAGCACGATAAGATGTTAGATTAGGCATATTGAATAAGATTCAAAAAAAAAACATAGATCTGAACATGAAAAAAAGCGCTATGAAATGACTTATTTAACAATTTATAAAACATGCCGTTCATAACAAGATTTGAATTTATGATATATATGCTGAATAGATGATGTACTTATTTTCATATACTTATTTTTGAATAGTCTTCAAGAATTTTCGACTTTGTTTGCCAAACTTACTCAGTCTGTAATATACAGTTTTAAGTGACCAGAAAATAATTATGGATTGATTTTCAATGAATATCAAGATCTTACTGTCTGTGGGGAATCAGTTTTCACTAATTCCGATTAAACTGGAAAAGTTGTAATTGATCCTTGTACAGAAAAAAAAATGACCGACTAATACATGTGAACTATGGTTCAAACGATCATATGATATCATAATGCAAATGACTGCGTACGACAAAAAAAGAAGAGCAACGACGCATAAGGATTAATCTTAAGTGAAAAGTAATATCTCATAACTACAAATAGGAAATCCTTATACATCCCATTGCTGTTTCAAATGATCCATTTGACCTGCGATTGGTTTTTTTAGAAGTATCTTGTGAAATTTATTTTGACTATTAAATAAATAAATTATGTCATTCAATAAAACATCTTTAGTTAATTTAAACCCATTGTTAGAAAACAAATATATGTAGATCATCAATCAAATTTATTTCGATTAGAATACAGCTAAAATTATATTCTTTTGTTCTTTAAAAATTAAAAAAATTAATAAATTGAGTTTTTTTTTTTTCAAAACAAAAAATTTAATAATTATCAAAGAAAAACAATATGCTGCGGACTTTGAATATTATCCAATTTTGAAACAAATGTATATGTACCATTATCCTTATTATATGAAAAACAAATTAAATTATTTGATTTTTGATTAGCAACAAGAAGAAATTTTCCAGTTGGATCAAATGTAAAATATCGTGTAAACGAACCACGACAATCAAGATGTTCTTTAACACTTAAAACTTCATCATTATTCTCATTTATATTAAATATAACCAGATTTTCATCACCACGATTTGATACAATTAAATATTTTCCATCTGGTGTAAATTGTAATTCAGCTGGATAATTTTCTTTAGTTGTATCTAGAAATACAAAAACAGAAATATTCAATTTTATTCACTGTTGTTTTTTTTTGCAATATTTAACCATTTTCATCTTCTTGTCGTCGTGTTTTTATTGTTTGAAGATATTCAAATTGTTCACATGATGCATTTATTCGATAAATATTTATTGTTGAATTTAATTCATTACATAGAAAAGCTAATGATTTATTTGGATGAAAAATAATATGACGTGGTCCAGCACCTGCTTCTGTTTTTATACGATTACCAACTAAACTAACCTCTCCATTTGCATCATTAAAACGATATATATTTAATGTATCAGTACCTAAATCAACAACATATAAATGACCTTGATGAAATAATACTTGATGACAATATGAATGATCTTGACGATCTGGATTCGGACCATGTCCATCAATTGTATTTATTTGAGCATGTTTTTCTTCGGGTTGATTTGAATTATTTAATGGAAAAAGAACAAAATTTGATGTACCTTGATAGCCATAACTAAAAAAATAATAAATCAATAATTAAAATATTATTTTTTGTTTAATTCATTTATTGATAAAAATTACTTAGCTACGGCAAGCCATTTTCCAGTTGAATCAATATCCAATGAACATGGTGTGTTTCCTATTGATGATATGGTATTTTTCAATGTTAATTTACCTTGAATAGGATCATCAATTGTGAACATTTCTATTTTATCAATATGTTCATTAACAACGTAAAGTACATCATTTCGTGATAAAAGCCATGATGAACCTTTTCCACATTTAGTTTCATTAAGTAATTGTAGTTGTCCACTTGATGTAAGAGTACATGCATAAATACTTTCGACACCAGTACCAATAAGAAATGTTCGATTACTCATGATGTTATCTAGAATGTATAATAAGATATACATCTCTCTTTGTGTTCAAATGTCAAGACAATGTGTATTGACCATAACGATAAATAAAACGTTGTCAAGTATGATATACTTTTGAAAATTATAATCTATATTTATATGTACATTTTCAAAAGCTATATTGATGATGAAAAATGACGAACATGTTTCATTCATTGATATTTGCATTTCTTTTTACGACTTCTTGTTTTTTTCTTTGATGACCGACAAAAGGTAAACATACATAAAATAGAGTGATTGTACATCATGCCCACTTGTGTTTTTTACCGCAAGAGCTTTCACATAAATCGTAATCAAATAATGATGTAGAAAGCTTCTGTTTCTTGACATAGACATTTACTCAAATGTATCTAATAAATATATATTGTTAGTGGTTGTATAAGTTTTAAATGATTATTAATTTCATGCTTGCAATTATGAATCCTAGAAATAATTATTCTCTTTTGTTTCTCTTATTTAACAGTTATGTAAAAGATATTTTTACAAAAAAAAAAAAAGAAAGAGTTATAGATTAAATATATATTATTACCAAAGATGTAACAACTCTGTCTTAATATTAACAAGATACATAAAATGTTAACTGTTATCATTAAGAGTAACTTATGCAAAATAATATCTATGACTTGAAACTAAAAATATAGAATACACTGTAAAAAAAAATAAGTATATATATATATCTACAAATATGATTATTCAAAATGTATAATTTAACATATAAAAACGAATATTTTCAATGTGTATTTGTTTCATGTTCTATAATAACAACAAATGACATTTGATACTTGCAAAATTTTGTTTTTTAGATAAGATTTGTTTATCAAACATTTAAAACATAAAAAACCACGTTTTTTTTTAAATAAATAAGCACATAATATAAATTCTATTCTTTTCATTGATATTCATTTCTAAAGGTTGATGCCATTTTAGAATTGATTTTTCTATCAAGATCTAATTTATTTCTGTTTATTATAATTAAAATTTAAATAATATTTTAAATTCATTTTACTCAATAGAATAATTATTATTATATATAATTGATTTTAAAATATCAAAATTAAAACTTTTATTGTTATTTTTAAATAAATCAATAACATAAAAATTGAAACAAAAAACAAAAATGAAAGCACCACGTTAGTCATTTAAGAGAAGAAAAAAAAGAATATTTTATGTCAATATAAATATAGATTTATATGTATATATATATGTATTTATACATTGCACTTATATCAATAGAGAAGAAAAAAGATATTTGCCTTTTATTTATATTAGGAAAAAAAAAAGACTTATCGTTGAGTATCTTGATGATAATTATTAATACGTGTTTCAAGTGATAAATTATTACCATTATTATTTTCAAACCATGTAACTAAACAAGTTTCAGCATTCATTGCAGCTTCGAATTGTTCAAAACTAATTGTCCATTCATTTTCTATTTCTTTTTTATTATCATCTATCTCAACTTGATGAGGAGGAGATTTACACATTTCACCTTTAAATAAAAAAAAAAAAGAGAATCGAAAAATGGAAAGTAAAACAAATTCAAATATAATAACAAACAAACCCATTTTTAAAAGAAGTGTACTTGAAGTTGTTAGCGCTTTAAATAAATTTTCATCATCAATAGCTCCAGTCATTAAACTATATATTGATTTACATAGATGTATAACTTCAGTCTAAATAAAGAATATAAAATTTTCTTTTTCAAATATTCATTCAGATCCACTATTCGCGCTCGTCTTTTGAAATCAATTTTTTTCTTCACTTTTCCTGAATATATATTTATATTTTCCTTATGAAATAAAATTGAATAAGTAGTAATAAATTTCCTAGACACGTCTAAAATTACAATAAGAGAAATCTCATCTATATGTTTCCATTAAAGAGCTAGTGTCTATGAAAATCAATATGGATCAAAATATCGCCGTGTTCAAAAATTGTTTTTAAAAATACGAAATTTTTAAAAATCTATCACACAAAATCAAATAACAATACAAATCTAAGCTATTAAAAACTGTTTTGGATTTTGAATTCGATAGGCAGAAATCAAAATACAAAATAATATTCTATATAAGCACTACTTTGAACTTTTTGAAAAAAATCTTACTCCACAAGGAGATTCTGACAGCATATTCGAAAAGGCCAACGGAGTCTCATTCTAATTAATTGCATCTAGAGATGTAAGCCATCCAGCTGCGCCGCCGTCGATTTTTTTCAGAAATCAGCCGCTGTCGCTGTGAAAAAGTTAGTTCAGCCGTTGCGCCGCCGCCACGGGCGAAAATTTTTGATAATAGTATGATGCGCCGCCGCCATTGACATCGATACATATGCGATCGGTCATTTTAGGAGCGAAAACGTCTTTTTTTTGGTTGTCAAAGCCGCCGCCGGTGTAGAAAATCATGGAGTCTAGTGGGCGCCGCCGCCATGGAAAAAAATTAGACTATTAAAACAGCCGTCGCCGTTTGACCCCTTGGCTTACACCTCTAATTGCATCTGGTTCTAACCAGTTGTATTTAACTAGTCAAAAAATAAGTGGAAATTTTTATCATCAGAGAGAATGCAAAATAATCGGTTAGAGTCAGAATTTAGGTATGATAATAGCTTTTTTTGAAATTTTTGTATTCAAAATACAAGAGGATTGCGATCCATTGTCTTAACATAACAGAAAGAAGAGTAAATTGAACATTTTGTAAAACAATCCTTATTCTAAACGCTAATATATTCTAATTTTCTTATGATTTTGATTGACTTAGTTGTAATCAAAATGCAAAAAAAAGAAAATACATGCTAAACTTAAAATTCTGAAAATATATTTAAAAAGAAAATAAAGTTTTCATGACCTGCTTTGAATTTTCTCTAACAAATTATAACTGATTAAAAAATGAACATAAAATTTTTAGCATATGCTTGTAACTCAACACTAAATCATATTTTTCTGACCTATACAATAGCATTCACTATCCAAAAAATAAAACGAGAGTTCAAAATATTCGAATTGAAATCAAGGTGGTTTGAAACACCAAAATATACAAACCTATTGAGATTGAATATTTACCTGATTCATCAAAGGTAGTTGACTAGATTTAACATATGTAATCTCTCCATTTTCTATGTACAATGATGGTATTTCTTCTTTCTCACTAGTTTCTGATGATGAACGAACAGATGTTGGTTCTAATAAAATCTTAAAACCTTCTTTTCTTTTATTTTCATCTAATATAAAATAAAAAAAGAAAATATTTATTTATTTAATTAATTCTAAATTCTAAACAAACCTTCTAAATGTGAAAGAAATAAAATAATTAATTTATCTTTAAAATCTTCATTCCATAAAATGTTCCATAATCGAATAAAATGAATAAAATCAATTTGATTTGATTGAACATTTAAATTAAATAACTATTCAACAATAATAATAAAAAAAAAAAAATGATCAATAAAAAATTTTAAAAGAAAAATTCTTTTTATTTTACATCAAATAATTTATTTGCTAAATTTTCTGGTTCATCACCAATAAACCATGGTGATAAATATTTACATAAAATTAAATATTCATCTCGATTAATTCTATATGTTTCATAAGCAAGTTTTTTTGGATCATTTGCTTCTGTTAATGATATACGTGAAACATCCTTAAAAGATAATAGTGAATATTCAAAGAAATTTTTCTTTTTTTTTTTAGTCATTTTACTTTAAAAATATAAAAAATATTTTTTATTTGTTGTTCATTAAATTTTGTATATTTTGCAGTATTTTTTGCAGCTGATTGTAATAATGATTCACGCATATTGTGTATAACTTTTAAACGATGTTTTAAACGTAAACGATTAATATCTTCTTCATTAACACCATTATAATTTGTATAAGATTTTTTAATTAAATAAATAATTTTTTTTTCTTCATTATTTTCATATTTATGATTATTAAATTGATCTAAATATGTTGTTAATATCATTATTGCATCTCCATCATCTTGACATTCCAATAAATGTTGACGATTTTCATTTAATATTGTTAATGCTAATTGAAATAATACTTTTATACCATCAAAAAAAAATATATCCATAATATATAATGCTGATTCAAATGGCATAACACTTTTAAATAGAAAAAAAATTATAAAAAAAAAAAAAAACAAAAAGAATTGTTTTTTTCTTTAACTTACCAAACAAATAGAGTTAAAAACCATGAAAGACTAATACATGCAGCTATACCAAGATGTTTTAATTTAGCATATAAATCAGGTAAATATTCTTTACAATAATCATTGAATACACCTAAAAATAGATAAAATTTACTGATTTGAAAAAAAAAAATCATTAGCCATTTTTGAAAAATCAGTTCCTTGACCAAATCGTGTTTTATATACCAAGGAGATCTTGACAAAGTACTTATGAGGGAACACCCCTAGGTGAAGCTACGCTTTTGACGTGATATTTTGCCCATATTATAGATCTTAGTGAGACTAGAAAAATCCTAAAAGGGTTTGGATTTCTGGCGTTTCCTTCTTGAACTATGACAGTTTTAGTAAAATTTTGGCCCTATGGTAGGTACTTTCGAAAAATTTCATTTTGAGGATTTTGATCTGAACTTTTGCCCGCAGATAGCTCTGATAGATACTAAATTATCCTGAAAGTTTCAACAAAAACGAATGTATCCTTCTCGATATATTCAATTGGCAAAAAAATCGGCATTTGCCATACGAACGATACAATAATTGAGTTTTCTGTAAATTCAATATCTGGCGAAGGATACATTTGTTTTTGTTGAAACTTTCAGGATAATCTAGTATCTATAAGAGCTATCTGTCGGTAAAGTTTCAGATCAAAATCCTCAAAATGAAATTTTTCGAAAGTACCTACCATAGGGCCAAAATTTTGCTAAAACGGTCATAGCTCAAGAAGGAAGCGCCAGAAACTCAAACCATTTTAGGGTTTTTCTAGTCTCACTAAGGCCTATATATGGGCAAAATAGCACGTCAAAATCAGAGCTTCACCTAGGGATGTTCCCTCGTTAGAGCTTTACTTAGATAAAAGCTATAGCTTAATTCAACAGAACATTTCTTTTGTTTGAAGATTTGACAGATGGAGTAAATGATCGATTCCGATCATTTTTATTACTTTCAAAATTCATACGTTGTATCATATCAGCTACATTTGACTCTATTCTTTTTCTGCTAGAAATAATTAGTACGAACGATGTCAAATCATCATCTTTTTTTTTCATTAAAAATCATACAATACGAATGATCTCTCGTTCTTTTGTTCATTCTGTTTGATAATTGAAAACTTTGAGAAATACTTTTAATAGATATTTATTAAATCAGGAGTTCAAAAAGAACTACAGATCATGTTTTTTTTTTCTTCATAATTATCAAATACGATATTTAGTCAAATTTAGATGATATAAAAGATTCTCATAAAAAAATGATACGATACCAAATGTGAAAGATAATTTCGACAAATTGAAAAGTTTTTTCAGTTACTGTAAAGATTTACAACTGATATCTTATTTTTCGCTGTTAATTCACTTCTAGAAAGCTTTTGTCTGTAAGTGACTATGTCTTAGATCAAACGATGTTGAATAAATATTCAACAGTTTTGATCTTTAACAACATATAAGGTTCAAAGAGTAGAAGTTCATTCATACTGTACGAATACTACAACTACGAAAAGCAATCAACTCAAACTTGTTACTTCTATAGATACATTTATCTTCAACAAAATCTACCTTGATCTATCAATGCTCCAACTACTTTCATATTATAATAATCTGGTAGAAGTCTTTCACATAATGCTGCTAATGTCCAAAATGCATCTTCTTCATTCATATAAAGTAATAATACACCACCAATGATATTCATAGCTTGACAATAACCTATATAAAAAAATTTTTTTAATTAAATAAAAAAGTAAAACAAAAAAAAGAAAAGAAACTTTCACTAACCAACATCTATATTATAACAAGCATATGCTCTTAATAAACGTCTTAATGCATTAATGCCTGCTTCATGTTGATATGCTTTTTGATCTGGTAATGCTCGATGTAGATCACGTTCAATTTCTTCATTTATTATATCTTGATCAGTTTTAACATTTGATGAATCATAAACACATTTTCTATAAATATTCGGATTTGCTTCTTTCTATTAAAAAAAAAACAAATATGTATAAAAATTTTTCAATATAAAAAAAAATTCTTTATTTGACTATAACTAACATCATATATAGCACCACTAAATAAAAGCCATAATTCATTTCGTAATGAATTTGGTATTCCTTGAAATAATAATTCATATAAGTCATTTGTTCGATACATAGCTGAACCTTTTCCATAAATAGCAAAATGTGTATACCATGCAGCTTCTCGAATTTTATCAAATGCTTGTTGTTCTTCAGTTATATTATTATTAAATTGTAAATAAAGTGGAGAAGATATAGCTAGAAAGAAAATGTTTATTATTTAAAAATTTAAAATAAAAATTAATTAATTAACTAACTTATTGATGGAAGATTTATAATTGATATGATTTTTTCATTATATTCTGATAATAAAGTTGATAATTTACTAAGAATAAATGATCGATCAACAAAATTTGAAAAAATAAATGGACCACCCTATTAAAAAAAAAGAAGAAATATAATAGAAAATGTTCAATTATTTAATATTTTAATTTTTTTTTTTTTTACTTCATATTTTATTGTTATAACAATTGCTGATTGAATATCAAAATTTGATACATTGGAATTATTTGAATGTTTTTCAACAATGATTATATCGCGAAATGGAATGATTAAATTTACTTGACGATGAAGCTTAGAATTTTAAAATAAAGAATTCATAGGAACAAAAAAAAAACAGTTTTTAGAAATCTTACTCTACTAGCAAAACAAATAAAATTCGATGAAACATAAAGTTTACCAGATATACTTGAACGATTATATGGTGTCCATAAATGACATGCTATTTCACCATCTAAACGTTCATTTAATGGTAAACGAAAACGAGATCGATATGCTTCATTACGAGATTTAGCATCAAAATCACGTTTTAATTGAGATATTACTTTAGGTGCTGTTTTTCTAAAAGAAAAATTCAATTGATGAACATTTTTAAGAAAATCATTTTGTTTTATTTAACTTCTAAATGTGCAAATAGGCAAGTGTAGGATCACGTGTATAGATCAACAATCAATTAACAAGCTTCTTTAATTATTATTGTGCGACTTTTTTAAACAAAGTCTATCATTATTCATTAGCAATTTAATGAAGATGTTAGTGGTATAATCAGAAAAAAAGGTGTAGGAAGAGGCTCAACCGCATCATTATATCTGTAGAATGAAAGGAAATTCTCTGGTGTAGTGTTTCCTGTAGAAGTTCAAGTAGAGATGTTCAGGGTTATCCTATACTACTCTGCAAGGTAAGAATAAAACAAAAGTTAGAAAATTTCTTTCGCTGTTAAAATACAGGATATGAAAAAAGTTTATTGGTTACATCTATAGACTAAATCTTTTTTTTTAACGGAACTCAATTGTGTATAAGAGAAGAAGAATAGCTGAGCCTCTATTTGATTATACCATTGTAAAATGTATCAAGAAATTGTTAATGAAGACTTTGTTGATTGTAATGATGATTTTGAAGGTGTGTTATTCGTGAACAAGAATATTTTCTATCATTCTCACCTTTTATTACGTTCAAATATGTTACTTCCATTTTAATGAGTCTTTTCATAAATGCATTAACTAGATAAAACAGTGAATCAATTGATAAATCTTTCATTTTTTTTTAAAATTCCTTTGAATACGATATCAATTGAATTCTGATTCAATACAAGTTACATGTACATAAAAAATGAAACCTATTTTAAGAAATCCTTTAGAATTTCAAAGGTTTTCGAAAGCTTATTTTAACATTTTTTATTCATCATTTATTTTCTCGTTGTTTTTTATTTTATTTTTTCAATCAAATGCTTACTTTGTAACAGCTGGAAAACGATCTTCTTCTCGAAATGCACCTTTTTGTGATAATAATCTATATTATAAATAAATATTTTCATAATAAACTAAATTAAATATACTTTTTTGCAGCAAAATTTGCTATTTGTTCCATTATTTGAAATGTTTCTTCAATTTTTCTAAACATTCCAAAACTATATTCATGTAAACGTGTACATACACGTATTGATTCCGATACAATATTATGTGTACGTTCAAGTGTCTTAAAAATATAAAAGAAAACAAAATTATGATTTACTAAAACATAAAATAATACTTACAATAATATCTGTAAATTTAATTATAAGAGTTATTTCTTTTCCAAGTAAATCCGAATGAAAACATAGATAATTTACAGATAAATAAATAGAACCTTGTCGAGGTACACGACCTTGCCAATATGAACATGAATAATCTTTGAAATATAATTATAAAAACAACAACTAAGAATTATTTCTTTTATAAAATTCTTACAAATAACAAGTTTTTCATCCATTGACATTTTAAATACATTATAAAATCTTTTTGTTGCTTTTTTAAATTTTTCTGTTTCCAAATCTATAATTATTTTACATTTTATATAATTATCATAATATGATTTTATTTTTTGTTTTACCTTCAATATCTTCCGTAATAGCTTCTGTACATAAACTTTTTATTTTCCATTGTACAAAATCACTTATATCATCAGCAACAGCAATTCCTTCTATTAAAAAAAAAACAAAAATAATTTAAATATAAAAAAAAAAAAACTATCTTTACCAAGTGTTGGCATTATATTTATTTCAATCCATTTCCAATTTCCTTCAATATCTTCTTTTGTATTGGCTTCAGCTATTGCTAAAATTTTCATTTAATTTTTATTTTAAATTATATAGGAAATAAATATTCTTACAATAATAAATTTCAGAATCGGGTCGTTTATAAAGTATACGATAATGAATCATCTATAGAAAACAAAAAACTTCAATTTTAATAGATCATTTTAAGTTTTTTTTTTTCTTCATGTTACTTTATCTAAGACAGTATCAAACGTGGCAACAAGAAAACTAGTTAAACCACTACGTCGTTCATCATGACCACGACGACGTTGTAATATAAAATACGGGTTAGCTCGATCAGTTGACCTGAATTAAATAAATATGATAAATAAATCCCAAAAAAAAACTTAGAAATAATCTTACCAAAGTCCTGAAAGCTATGACAATAAAAAAAAAAGAAGATCAAAACAAAATAAGTTTATTTATTTTGCATAAGATTTTTACAAGAAACCTCTTACCCGAGTCTCTACAGGCTTTATCCACATTTGTCGTGGTATAACACAACGAAGAGATGATGAAGGAATGATAAAAAAAAACACGAGAGATCAACCAAAGAAACCTAAAACATTTGATAAAACTGATAGGAATGTTCAAATTACCAATCAAAATTAATCATTAATTAAAGTTAATTTTTTTAGTTTTATTATGTAAATAGGATACATCAATGATAGATTAACCTAACTAAAAATCATTAGCATTGATTGTAGCGCTAGGAGACTTTATATTGTGATTCATTCACAAAGTTATTACAAAAAAAAAACAAAAGAAAACGAAAGGACGCTTTGATCCGAGACAGACGAATAAACGAACTAAAATGTCGAATAATTGAGAGGGGGATGGTCGATGACGCAGAAGATCGATTAGAATATTTTTTGTTCAAGTTGACCCAAATTAGAGGTAGAAGATTGAAGGTCTTACCTTTGGATAGGTAAATAAAAACAACAATATAACGTTAGAGAAAAAACGAAATTTTTTTCAAGATGAGAAGGAGGAACTATACGCTCAAGACGGTCTTATTCAAATAATCGAATATATATATTTTCTATGCCTAACAATAATGATTTTTTGTAATTTGATAACTAAAATTTTATAAAAATTAGAAAACTTCGTTCTTACTTTAATCTACTAATACTTATACACCAATTGAATATGAATTAGAAAAAGCTTCAAAAAAAAAAATAAGTGCAATATAGTACAAGTTATTATTTGGTATACAAATAACTAACATTTACATAACTAACATAAATATTAAAAAGAAAAACTCTAACTCAAATATTTTTCTTATGTTCTTGTACAAAAATTGATTTTAGTGTTATTCTCTATATAGATATTTTCTATTAAAAAAAACAAAAAAAAGATTTGTTTCTAATGTCCACATCTGGTCAAATATTACATGAACGTGCTCGTTCATTATTAACTTTAATTGATGGTCTTCAAATTGAAAATGATTTAACAAGTTCACGTCGTACAGTAGATGATTGGCGTACAGAAATGTTTTCATTAATAAATAATATTCATTTAAATACAATGAATAAACTTGATACATTAACTAGTCGTTTACATCAATTAAAACAACGTCGTTCAGCAATATTAAGACAAGATATATTACCAAATTTAAGTAAAATGGTTATTGAAAGACGAAAAAATTTATCTGAACAAGAATTAAATGATATAAAAAAGAAAATAACAAAAATAGATTGTGATTTACAAGTATTTGGAAGATTATTAAATAAAGTTAGTAGTGATGAAAAAAAATTAGTTGAACAAATTGAAGTACTTAAAAGTAAAAAAACAAAATAAATACCAATTAGACGAAATTTAAAAATTTTTTTTATTAATTATTTATTCGAATAGATATTCAACGTGAAAATGCTCAATTATCTATTCTTGATAATATTTCAACACCAAAACGTCGTTTTACACTTGATTCATGTCATTCACCATTTATAGCTGTATCAGAAGATAATTCTATGCTTATTGAAGATGATAATCATCTTGTTTTATTTGATGAACAACGTCGTATTAATGAAATTCCATGGAAAGGACAAGAAGATGATTCATTTAGTGGTTCAATTAAAGATCTTATTTATTCAAATTATCTTGAACAATTTTGTGTTTTATCAGCATTACATTTTTTTACACTTGATCCACATATGTCAACATTAGAAAAAAGTGAACAATTAAGACCTTCTACAGGTAAAATTTGTTATTTCTAGCTTTTTTGATTAAAAGTCATCAATAAGAATGGTATATAGGTTTTCTAAAGGATGCGTGTTTGATTAACATTTACATTATGTATGTCTACATATGATTAAACATGGAGCAGGTGATATATAATTTAATAATATATATTTCAATAGTATTTTAGCTACTAATAAATAGATGCTTCTTAGTCTATGAAAAATTCTCTGTAAAATTTCTTCAGGATTTTTTTTTGCTCACTTTTTTTTAGACAAATATTTTTTGTTATTTATCTTGACAATCAAAATATACAACCACAGAAAGTAAAACAAGCTTCACTATTGAACTATACTTAAAGGACAAGAATTTTCTCCATTTTGACTTATTAACCCTTTAAGGACGGAGTTTTTTTTCAATCGAAAAATGGTTCTTCAATCAGGCTGTTGTATTTGGCTTCAAATGATGAGATAAAAACCTGATGATAATGCGTTGAGAGAAGAGAGAAAGAAATCATGCGTCAGTATATAGTAGCAGGACGAAAGGAGGACATCTGAGAAGATCTGTATGGCAGGAAGAAAGAGAGAAAAGACCTGCATCAGGTGGCAGATAGGTGACCTATTTACCTTAAAGATTGTAACAGTTTAACATAGAATAAACATTTTCTGTACTGAAAAATAGGTGGGACAAATATCACCCACCCGTCCTCAAAGGGTTAATTAATAAAAGTTATACAAACTAAGAACAAGAATACTTCTAACTTTGAACTAGCTTGTGGTATGGGATATTGCCTAGTAGTGATAGATTCAGTAGTTCAATATTATCTCTACAATTGTTACTAGATGTAGTTCTGAACAGAAGAACAACCTACCGCAGAGTGGTTGCGCTCGTTTACTTTAGCTCTCCAGACGCACTGTTAGTAACTTGTTCACAATGATTCTATGACTGGTAATACTAAGATTTGGACATAGTATGCCTAGTAGACATCTATCGAACAACATTGCCACTTAACCATAGCAACCTGCTGTATAAGTTAGATTGCTTTTGGTCTTGGTTTCGCCAGCACCGAAGCCATCTTGTTCATAGCTAGTAGAAAGTATATTATCGTGATTGACAAATCTCTTCTGTAAGTATCTAGTGACACATATTGTTATATAAATAAAGAACTCGAAATTAGAAGAAATAGTTTCTTTTTTTGTTCGTACAGAAAATTTATCATTGAATTTTGTATAGGAAGTCATTTTCAATCACTTGCTTGTCTTCCTAATGCATCTGATGTTTTTTTTGCTTTAACAACATCTGGTTCACGTACAAATATTGAACGTTGGTCACTTATTTCTGGTTCTTTGATTAGACGATGGTACCATGATATATTTGAATCTGATGATCGTCTTATATCATGTATACGTGCTAATGAAACATGTTTAGCTATTTGTATAAAACAACAAAAAACTGAAAAAGGTCCTCATAGTGATAATAATCAATGGCGTGTTGATATATTTGATTTTACACTTGTTCGAATGTTTCGTGGTGTGAATTTAAAAAGTGGTGGTTTAGGAACATATATAACTCCATTTGATGATCGATCATGGTTAACTATCAATGGTAATGATATATGGTTATTAGATGAACAAGGTGGATTTATTGAAGAAAAAACAATAAATGAACGTGAACAATTACATAATATTATTGTTAAAGATGAAGATATAAATGGACAAAGACAATTTATAATTAAAATGGGTAAACCAGCTGAGTTGCGTGTTATTTAGTATTGTAAAATACGTATTTAAATTTTTTTTTTTTTGTGAAAAGAATAATAAAATTCAGAAAGAAAAAAGCCAGATTGCAAATCATTCTTTCTTTCTTTGTTTAATGTGATTTCTTTAATGTTTGTGTATTTATAAAAGAGAGATTACCCAAAAAAAAAAACGAACAAGTCATCAGAATTATGCTTAAGACATTATAATTTTATTCGTTCGTTTCTTTCTTTCTTTCTTTTTTTTTACTTCTTTTGAATGTTTACATATTATAATGCCGTATATATTTTGTCGACGACGTTTTCATAATCGTTTTGTCACATTTTTAACAATCCTGGGTACTTTTTTAATAATATCATTTATAATTCGTTCTGATCCAATAATAATAGCAAATATAAATAGAGAAGATATTGGTCCACGTTTATTTTGTGTATTAATACATACACATTCAACACATGAAGAATTTATTTATTTAAGTAATATAACATGGGCTAAACATTGTCATAAAATTGGTATTGTAAGATATAAACGATTACAAACATCTGATGATGGTAAGTTAATTGATCGAATACAAATTTAATATTGATCATTATTCAATAATGAATCATCATGTGAGAGAATCGTTTGGAAACAACAGTATCTTCTTCTATAACAGATTTCAATATTTTAATAATAGTAACCATAGACTAGTGACAGTATATTGTAAGAGGATTTGCCTTATAGTTAGTTCCTTGCTTATATTCATTTGTCATACAATATGAAATTTCAATTCATGAAATACATACCAAAGATAAGCATGGGACAAGGTGATTCTGCTTCTTGTCTTGTGTAGACTATCAATGATATGTTAAAATAATGATGATAAAATTCCATAAGTTCATATAGTTTTTTTAATATATCTATTTCCTATGATGAACGTATCATTAAAATACAAAATCAAGATGTTTCAATATTATCTTGTCTTTATAATATTAGTCATTATTGAAAATTGTAGTTGTTTTATTTGAATATGATACGAATTAAATTAGCTATAAGATGATTAATAAACTAATTGATGATCGAAAGTCAAAATAAGGATTCTTACTGTTTTGCTCACTCTCTTAGCCTGTCTTGTGCCCAACTCTGATGTGTACATTTCTTGATGAGATAAGGTAAATTTAGTTTTTCTTTTTTCATGTGAATACATGCACAAAAGAAAACTTCTTGTAAACCTTGAAAAATTATTCAATTTAATTTCGAAAATGTTGTTTGTTGTTCTAGACCTTAGTCCTACTCAATCACCATATCATGTAAATTTATGGATACGTATTCTTATTGTAATTCGTCAATCTATAAGTTCATATGAATATATTTCAACTAATGATTCATTAGTTATTGTTCCTGCTCCTACATTTGTCTTTCGAGAAAAATTAGTAAGACTTCTTCATACTTCTACTAAGATTTCTCGTTCACCATTAATTATTATATACGAACTACAAGAAGCAAACGCTTATATTTTAAATGGTCAAGCTTTAAATCTTGTGCGTAATACTCAACTAATCGATTCATGTTTACAACAATCATATCCAAGTGCACGTGAAACACATTTATGGAAATGTGTAAAATATAAATTAAGTAATGAACAAATAAAATCAATATGTAAAAATAATAATTGTTTTATTCAATATTATCGTAATGAATTAACAATAGATGATATTAAAAATGGATCTTGTCTACAAAATAATCGTCATATATGTCAATCAATAGTTTTACTTTATCCAACAACATTCAATGATATAGTAACATTAGAATTTTTTAAATATAGATTAAAACCAAAATCTTCACATACCTTATTATAATTAACAAAAAAAAAGATGTGTAGAGTTTTTATTGATACATTTATCAATTTTAGAACATATAGTATTACGTATTTTTTCGAATAAATATCAATTTCTGTATATCAAAATATTGTTTTAGCTTATTAATTAAATAGTTTTTTTTTGTTAACTTTCTAATTGTTTGATTCGAAGACGAATCATAGATATTTGTAGAATACGTATTGGTACACAATCAAGATTTAAAATAAGAATTATTTGAACATTTACGAGCACCAATTGATAGTCTAATATTACAAATGAGATCTGTTTGATCACTTTATGCATACCAAAAGCCATTTGAATAATTTATAGTTTTAAAGATTTGTGTAAAAAGTTTTTTAAAAATTAATTAATAAGTAATCCTAGTGAATTTTTCCTAAAATAATCTCCTAGAAGTTCCTTAAAAGCTCTCCAAGGAATCACGACAGAGTTTCTCTGAAAATTTAAAGGGTTTTCCTGAATATGACAACTATGACTATTGTAAACTTTTGAAGATGAATTTCTCATCAATGAGAGAGATATGCGCGATTCTTTTCTCTTTCCTATTATTAAAAAAATAATGACCTATTTCAGTGTTTTTAATGAGAATCTGAAATAGAATGTATGCCTACACTGTGTTTTTTAGAACACCATGTATCTGTACACTTGGTTTTTTGTAGCAAAGTGTACAAAATATATAAGAAACACGAAACTTTTTTCTGTTCATAAAAGACATTTTTTATTTAAAAAAACTTTTATTTCATTTTTCATTTTAATGAAGACAAAATGATTTGAAAAAAAACAAAAATAAAACGTTTTCAAATCACAAAAGGAACTTTGACTGAATGAAAAATATCAACTGTTATTTTTATGAAACTCTATTTATCCACACTTGTAGATACATGAATATTTTAAGAATAAAACAAAAAAAAGGCAACACTATATGAAACATTAATAGATAGGGCTCCAATACGAATTTTCAAGTATACAATAAATTTTTATGTACAACACTTAAAAATGAAAGTTAAACGAAGTTTACTTCAATTTTGAGATATTTTGGTCATTTATACTGAGACGTTCCACTGTTCATTCACAACATTATCAGTTAAGAAAATTAATGGATAAAAAATCGAATAAAAAATTTGAAATAAAAATTACAAGCGTATAATTGCGTGCTTGTAATTTTTATTTTAAATTTTTTATTCGATTTTTTATCTATTAATTTTCTTAACTGATAATGTTGTCAATGAACAACGGCACGTTTCAATACAAAACATTACCACGTGTTAATTATTGTCTTAGTTCAAATTGAATCGAGTCTACGTATAAAATTTTCATGGCGTTCAATATTATAAATTATATTTTTGTACATACAGCAGAAGCACGGAGATTATAGAAAAATCAAAGTGTAAAATAAAAATTCAGTGTGTACAGTGTACACGCTACTTTTTTCACCAGCGTGTAAAACAGTATGTAAATTTTTTTTTATTAGGGTACCGTACCCGTTGTTTTGCTGGGTACACTCATTCATTGAAAATACTGACCTATTTTGTAAAGTCATGCTTACTAATAATATTATTATTCGGATTAATATAAACTGTCACGTATTGAAGTTATACGTAAAAGCCAGAAAAAGTATTGTATTATCAATGGCGTAATACAATAAAGGTCAAGGTCAATAACTTGTTTTATTGACTTGAAGAACAGAAACAACCAACAAGTTAGATGAAACGAAACGAACAAAAGTAACCATCTTTTTAAGAAAAGACAAGCATATATATAGAGAGATCTATATGTTGTGATGACTCATACAAATGGAATGCAGAATACGAAAAAGAAACAATAGAAATGTTGTTATATACGAAATTAGAGTGATCACAACATAAAAGGAAAAGAACTCATCAGTAGACAAACACCAACATATAAGAAATGAAATAAATGTAACAATAATAACAAATATTTTGAATACACAACATAAACCAGTAGCGTAGCCAGGAATTTTTGAGTTATGGGCAATTCATCAGGCGAACTATTTTGAGTTACGGGCAGCTAAGGGCAACCATTATGATTTCAAAACTATATATGGGCAATAACTTTTGGAGCTATGGGCAATTGCCCAATGGCCCTACCCCTGGCTACGCCACTGATATAAACTAAAAGAGAATGTGATTTATTTTACAAAAGAAAGACTATCATTTTATAAGCTAATACTTACTAATAACTCTACTATTCTGATTAATCTATATGAAAAAGATTAAAATTTATCTAATGAGATTAGACTTACGGATAAAATTGTTTTTGAAATTGAGCTGCATAAGACAAAAAAAAAGAAGAAAGTAATTATAGTTCTTAAAATAGTATTGCTTATCATTGTAATGATTGTTGACATTAATTAAAAAAAAAATTTATTTTGTGAAATAATATTTATCGTTTCATGATTCTGAGAACTGATTTAATATGAAGATAATACTATTTATTTCTTAAGATAATACGATTTTTCAGCTAAAGTTATTGTCGATTAAAGTAGGTTCAAAAATAAAATAAGATGAATTATACAGGTACTAAAAAGAAAAACAGAATGATCGTGTTTGTTTTCTTATTGGTTGAAATTAATAAAACAGTAAATATTCAATCTGAAATTCCTATTAGATACTATGCTTTGGAATTATTGAAAATATGTTTTTAAGATAAACTCATCAAAAATTTGTTTTCTTCTGCTTTCATATAAATGAAAAATCGATTAGTTGTCCACACTTTCATGATTGTCAATCAATTGCTATTAATTGCTGATGTTTTTGTTGTCAAATCGCAATTAATCGTTAAAATTAACGCAATTTTAATGACGTGAGTTCTACGTAGAACAAAAACAGAAACTATGCAACAATAGTCTTTAATCAAATATAGAAAAGTATTATTTCAATCTGATGATTGCTTTATCTCTGTTCAAATGAGAGTTATTCTGATGAGATACGTCAATTCATGCAAATAACTGCCAGTTTCCATCTGTTGTAGCTTTCAATTTTAATTATAACAGAGCAAGTCAACTTGTCATCTTTGTACTCAAAGTATATTTTAGACTAATTGTTGAATATTTGACAATTTTACTAAATTTTTTTTTTCGATCATATATTGTACAATCAGATAAAAAAAATATCGAATGTACTTAAAAGAAAAAAA